CTGGCCCGGCGCACGTGGCCCATCACCGAGTGGATGCGTCAATTCCAACCGCCAGGCCCAACCAGCAAAATACCTCACCTCGTCAGATGTTGTACAATGGGCTTGGTCGGACGCCGAGCGCCTTATTCGCAATTTGAAGTCATGTCAGCGCGACGAAGCTATTGTTCAGGCTGGGTTGGACGACGAAGCTCTAGGGTTTTGTGGGCCAGCCATGTCCTGGGTGCAACTTTGTCGTCAAGTACGCCACTTCCGCCTCATTCGACGGTCCTGCATTCAGCAACCCAGCGGAAAGCTGAGGGTCATTGATGACGCCGCGGACGGCGGGCAAAGTGAGCTGAGCCACGACTCGAACAAGTTGGATTTGTGCACCAGCATCCATCCGGGCCTTCATGCGCAGCTCTTGTGGCGGGCAGTCAGCCCTTTGCAGAATGCAGCCACCTTACTTGCAGAGGGCATCTGCTCAGGAGGTGAAGATCTCCCCAATGCGTACCGGCACGTGCCTATGGTCCCGGAGCATTCAGACCCCGCCATCGTCGCCTACTACGACCACCAAGTAGGGGAGCCTCGCTTTCGTCGCTACTATGGGTTACTTTTTGGGCTGCCCAATGCTGTGTGCTCGTTCCACCGGTTCCCTCGCTTCTTTCAGGCCGTATGTCGTCGCATGGGTTATTGTCTGGCTAGCATGTATTTTGATGACTTGACAGTTCAGGACCTGGGAAGCATGAAAGGTTCAGCCCAACAGTTCATGACTTCTCTGGCCACAGAACTTGGATCGCCGTTCCAACCGGAGAAACATCAAACTATGCAGAGCCAGTCTGACTTTCTGGGGCTGGTACATGATGTTGGGCAATGCCACCATGGGCATCCCGTTTGTTTTTGGCCACGCGACCGGTTGATCTCTAAGGTCCCGGATCTCATGGACGAAGCAACTCAAACAAAGCGTCTCTCGCCAGGCCTTGCTGCCAAGCTGTTTGGTTGCCTGGGCTTTCTCAACATTGGTTGTTTTGGTAAGCTTGGGAGATCAGGGTTGAGTCCCCTGAAGGAACGCCAGTACTCCCATGACATGATTTCGACTGAGGACCTACCACGTTCGTTTGTGACCATCAAGTCCCTCCTCGCATTGCGACCTGAGCGAGAGTTACCACTTCAACCCGGTAGCCAGCAACGCTACCTGGCGGCATCCGATGCGGCCCAAGATGAACCTCGGCAAGGTTCGGCGGGCCTGTTGTTTGTTGGACCCAATGATGAACGAGATGCCTATGTCGTTGACATCACGGCGGAGCTCTTCACCCTTTGGTCTGACCACCCCACCAAGATTGCCCAGTTGGAGTTGCTTACAGTTTATGTGGGATTTATCTTTGTGGCTAGTCAGGCCCGCGCCTGTCAGGGGCTTTGGTTTGTGGACAACATTGCAGCGTTGATGGCCTTGGTCAAGGGCAGGAGCGACAACCCTGAGTTGGACACTATGGCAGGATGTATCCATGCTCTGTTGTATTCACTGCGTAGTGGTTGCTACTTTGAATGGGTCCAATCCGCTGACAATTGGTCCGACGGTATTAGCAGGCAAGGAATTCACGACGAATGGTATCAGGCTCATGGATTTCGTGTGCATCGTGTTCCAGTACCTCTCCTCCTCCTCCGCCTACCTTACACCCTTATAAGTCGTGTCTTCCAGTTCTTCTGAGTGCTTTGGGTATGTTAGAATGCATTGGAACGAATACCTGGCAGAGGTATGCACCAGGGGTGCACGCAGCGTGGGCTGCTGTGACAGGGTCACATTAACCAAAGCACTTTTGAACAAAGACTCTCAAGCTTGTGCGAAAAAGAATTCAGTCCGAATCTGATTCGTCTTATCTCAAGTCAAGTGTAACTGATGCAGCCGAATATATTCATTCATTCAAGGTAGGCAGGGTCGGTGATGAGGAATTATTTGATGTCATTCAGTTCACTCACTCCTTTTTAGCTTGAGGCTCAAGCCAAAAAGGAGTGTCGCTCCACAAGAATCAGTGTTGCTGATTCTTAAGATTTTTGTCCCACCCACCACACCCTGTGCTCGGTACGAGTGGTTACAGGTGCATGTGGCAGCTGTCGGCCTGAGTCTCCACATTTGCGGTGCATCTGTGTGGTATCTTTTGGCCTGTGTGGTGTCGCCCACGGCGAGGCCTTGATTGTGGCAGCAGCCTGCAGGTGTCCACGGGTTACTGCGTTTTGGTGATGTCGTGTTCTTTTTGATCTAGTTTGGCATGCCTCCAGTACAGCCTATTTGACCGGTAATCTGCTGTCTCATGGCCTCGAGTGGTA